GAGATAAGTCTGGGTTTAAGCAACTTTTTGCGATCAATGTTACGAAAATGCCTTTTAATGTTATATATTTCAAAGTAGCTAAATGAGTAGCTTAACTCTATTTTCAAAACTTGTGAGGTGGCAGAGGGGAAGGTTCTGTTTAAGTTGACGTAAAGCTTTATGAAGTAATTAGGTAACCAATAATGTGGTTTATTAAGTAAAGATGGATAGTGGCTAGCGGTGGGACCCAGGACGCGCGTTTCGTTCCATTTGGTACTCGTCAGCTGAATGTACGCACAGGATGCACATCTGCCAATAAGAAATTGATCAACTGTAGTGCTAAACATTAATTAGAAGATTCAAACAAGCAATACCAAGTGAATTTAAACCTCATCTTATTGCACAAGCAGGTGGCTATCAAGACTCAGTAGCTAAATGAATAACGCGATGGCATTTGAAGCAAACGGTACTGCGTTCGAGTCCAGTAGTGAACATCAAGCTGACGAGTCCCAAATAGAACGAAACGCTCATCTTGGATCCTACTGCCGGCCAATATTCTTCTTTGCTTATAATACTTGTGAAACAAGACAATATCAAGGCAATACGCACGGTATGCACATATGCTAACAAGAGACTAATCAATTGCAGTCATAAACATCAGTGTGAAGATTTAAGTAAATAATTCCAAGTGGATGTAGTTAAAAGTTATTTATTCATTGTACATTCTACTGTAAGACTGATGCTGATTACCTTACAATCAACTGTTCAAAAAGAATTTTGAATGGTTTGAAGGCTTTGAGGTTGAGAAAATCAGGTTTTAGTGAAATACATAACCAAAAGAGAGTTTACTAATGATATATGATAATAATTTGCAATTATGTAAGTAAAATTTATACTTAGATGAAATCAACAAAACTTCATGAAGGCAAATACTGAAAATAGCAGTGTCACTTTCACAAGCATACAGAGAAAATCAATTTTAACTGCAAAGGTATCTTTGTTTTGAACACTCCGCAGAAGTATATTGATTATTCACTTATAATATTAATTATAATGATAATTATAACATTAGTATTAATCCTCGAGTTGGTTTACAATGAAGAATTCTCGGTGAGGCTACAATTTATGGACGACCTTTAAGCGATGCTAAAGTGGCCTTGAAAGTATCCACCTACTTACTAGTGCTAAATCAGGGTGGTAAACCAGCGTGAGGAATTAGGTCAACGGTTTACAGTAGATGGTTAGCGTTAAGAATTCGATTTAGGGTTTTCATCACAAACTGACATTAGTCAAATGAATGAATGAATTTCGCGTCAAAATTCAAGACTCATTATCTTATATCTGATTGGTTCGACTAAAAGTTATAGTCTCACCAAATTCTCAGCACAAATATATACTGGTGGAATATTTTCCAGTTTAACAACATCGTAACATATAAAAAACATACCACTCAAGGGAAGTGAGCTGAAAAACTAACTTTGCTACTCTGAAATCTTTTAAAATCACAGAATATATATGATGTATGAATCCCAAAACAATCACTTCTGGTTTCTCGTAAATAGAATATGACGAGCAAAATGTATCCATTACAATGATGGTTCTGCTTGAAATGAAAGACCAATTTTCTTCGTTAAAGGTTGTAAAATTTCTATAAAAGCAATTACGTTACTTATGCAATAAACATACATGAATAATTAGTTGAAATATGTAGATAAACAAGTCATTTCGTGGGATATTTACAAAGACGAAAAAAGATAGTCCAAGAAGTTCGACCAGAAATGCAATATTCTAGCCTTGAAATAAAATAGTACAATACTGAATATGAAAGCGAGACTTTATAATCACAAAAATGAGTTAAAACGGTTGTATTTCAGTGACTTTAACCATCCTGCTGATAATGTTAAGTAAACCCCTTGTATTTGATCAAATGTTAAAGTTTCCTATTTCAAAGATTCCTGAAATTCATTGCACAAGTGATATTCTGTGAATTTCTTCCACTAGGTACTTGAATATAAATCACGATCTAATTTTGATGGCTAAAGATACTATCCAGTTGCTCAAATCAAAGTAAATAAAACATGGTTCGAACCTGAGACTCAGTAGTAGAAAGTTGGGTGCCATAGTTACTAGGCCACTCCTCTGTTCTACCAGACAATGTGCTTAATATTACTGTTTTTTAATAGGTTGTTCTATACGTTTGGTTTATCTGCTACAAAATAAAAGTCATTTGTTAAATCAACATAATTCCATAAACTATGCGAAGTCAAAAAACTATCTGTGTAATCTCGTCACAATGATAAAGTGATATTTTATGTTCTATTTTTTTCATACCTAACAACATTTATATCTTAAAATTTTATTGCACTATGCAGTTTGATGTATAATAATCTTTTTTATAAAAACAGAAAAATTAAATAATCCACCTGTTTGTTTAAAATGATTTCAACCTTTCTAAATGGTTACTACCAAACGAGCTATATCTCAACGATAAATAACACGTCGTTTCATTGCATTTTTGCTATTGATTGATTTTAACTACTGATAAACAAATCAGTAGCAAGTAAACCTCATTGAAATGTAAAAAATGATTCATTTTTACCGTTTATTTCATTTTATTATTTTCAAGAGTATTTAATCATACGATTGATTTTAACTGAATGTGAATTTATTCATTTCTTCCGTCACACGTGATTGCATTCCATAACTGTTCTTTTTTTATTTATTTTTAGTTTTATTAGCCTTAAGTTATTTTACAAAAGAGTATGATGGTTATCATTTTTGTTTAATTGTTAAGAAATAAATACACCGGTGAATTTTGTTAATAATCATATTTTTACATCCTTAATTTGTATATATGCTGTTTATTTCCATGTCAGTATCCTGGTTTTCTTGGTCAGTTAACCAATCCTGTGTGTATATAGTAAGCTAGATTCCCTGTAAGAATGCTAGTTTGTTTTGTATTATAGTTGTTATTGGTGATCAGATCCCTTCCAACACTCACTAGGTGGATTCAGACGTATGTTGTTCACCTCAATGAAATCGTAATGCTATTTGAAAATCAATAAGGTTTTGAACGGAATAATTTAATAAATGTTGGGTAGAAGTGATATCGGCAAACTAGTAAATTCACTACGTTGTTGAAATGAATTATTGATAGGTACTAAAAAATAGGCCTTACAAAATCTAACTCATTAAAGTTGTTGTGATATAGTTATATCTGAATATTACAAATCCAAATTCAGATACTATGTAATATAATCAATCAGTCAGTCAGCTACAACGTAGGATCAGGCACGTATGTGATAGAATACGGAATAATTATTCCATTTCTGTCTCAACAATGGAAAAATGCTGGCGTTTCAGCAAATCAGTCAGTCAGTCAGCTGCAATGTAGGATCAGGCACATATATGCATCAGTCCAAGTTGCCATACCGCATTAGCACAACAAGACCAGGATCAAGTGAATATGAGTGTTTGTTTATACAATGAGTCTATGGAGATTGTTGAGTTTCAATAGTTTCTTAACTAAGTTTAATGTTGGAACGACTTTCGAAAAGCATGATAGAGCCTCCAGAACCCCAAAAAGAGCCTAAGAGTTTCCATCCAATCAGAACTTGATGGAACTTTCTAGTTTGTGTGACGAAAACAAAAGGAATATCAAATCGAATGAATTCAACTACCAAAAATATACAATGAATTTCATTAGTTCTCATTCTCTTTTGCGTAAATAAACTATTCACTGTCCAAATATTTAAGATACAATAAATATCTGCCTAAGATTACAATTGAAATTTCATACCTTTTCATCAAAATCTCTTCATTATACAAATAAATTACATTTGTTCTTCAGATATTCACTATTCATACAATTGATAGTAAGAATGGATTCATGTTGTTTCTATCATAGAAGCACCATATAGGATTTCGATGTATTAGCTTGCACTTAAATTAACATAATTAAAAGGTGTCCATTTCCTAATACACTATTTAATAATACTCTATCTATATAAACAATTTTATTAGATGTATTTATGAGCGGCTTGTAATTCACAAACACCTTGCTAAAGCTTGTATTTGCTTGGGAATCAATGGATGAACACACGGATTTCTTTATACATTATAGATATTACTTGTCAGGTATTTATTTGCCCATTTTTCTAACAATTATACTCGATGTATGTTTGTTCAATAACTTCGGTACTAACTCTAATAATTTCGAGTTTCAGAAACATAGATAAGATTAAATGCCAATCTCAAGTAAACAACTAATGAAAACAAAGAGACTGGATCTATCAAGGATCATGTCCTCACTAGTAGCTATTTCCGAGAAGTAATCCCAGGAGTTCTAGTGAAGAGTTATGATTAGTAGAGTTCTGTGATGAAAGTTGAGGCCGTTATACATAAATGGCACTGGAAGATGGCTGAAAAATATCACTTGTAAATAGATCATGTGTCAGTGATTTTAACGTTAAATGCTGTGAAACCTAAAGGCCCTGGGGTTTGGTCCTCGGTAGAACTGTTAATACACACTTTTGAAATGTTCCATATTAAGAAGATAAAATTCTCCAGTGCTTCCTGGTGTTCAGCAGTTATCTAAAATGGGTACGTGATATAAACCATAAAATTCAATAATCTCCACAGCACACCTCTCCAATATACTAAATACAAAGTTATATTTGTCCTAGTTATAGATTAGCACAGATTCTGGTTGGCAATCACGAAGAAGTACGCTCAAATAATACATTTTTAGGCTGAATAAATCTTACAGTCTTAAGCTATGCAACTAGTGAGAAACTGGTGACTAATAGATTTCTTTTTGATGCACATGTTAATTCTACAGAACATGTTAGAAATAGTAACCATAATCTTGTTATTATCATGACACATCATGTGACAAGCCATAAAATTCGTATCCGTAAGCTTTACAACATATGACTTGTCTTTTGCTCACCGAGCAAACTGTATCAGTCACGTTGTAATCCAATGACCCGATATCTAGTCGTTTAGTCTAATGAATAAAGAATCAAACCAAAATTTGCCATCACAGAAATTTTTTATTGTAATAATGAAATCTACGTGTTAATTTTACTGGAGTTAATATTTGTACAACATAAATTAATATAAAGTTGAAGTATTTATTCATTATTACAATGTGTTCTGGGGAATACATAATTGTCGTTGTAATGTGCGGTAACCATTTACTTCAGCAAATGATGTTTACTGGCATAGAATTAGTTTGAAAATATGGGGGCGAGCAAACTAAGGCCTTACGAAATTCATCGACTGCTGATTTGATCCTGTGTTAGGTTGGGTATAGACCATCTTCGTTAATATTTATCTGTTTATCGTGATCAGCAGATGGAAACGGTAGATGAAATAGTTTAGAAGCCAGCATAATCGAGTGGATCTATTCACTCCTTGTCTTTCCTTAAACATAACGTTACAAAATTATCTTATTTTGTGAAAACATTGTTTTGAAATCATATTATCGATGCATAATATTTTCTACTATTAATAATGATATTTTTAATACTACTTATACTACTCTGACAATTGTCTCACAGTGTTAATGTAACATAGGAACCTCAATCAATGGAAATATGTATCAGGTTCTACGTTACATATATGACTAACTGATTGATATACATGTATATAAAATTGATTATGTAAAGCAACTTTATTACATTACTAATGAAAACAAATAATTAAACCTTCTAATACAATTAAAAACATTTTAAGAATTAATGACTTTATATTGAGAAAAAAGTAATTTGAGGGAAAAAAAGATCAAATAAACAAGCATAGTAATAATAATAATATAGTGATCACTAATTGATATGTGAAAAAAAGTGTGAAAAGGAAAGTGGTAAATACACTACATAAATACATACATACACACACACAATGGACAAATTAAGAGAGAAACAAACAACGAAACTACACAACATGATCAATGATAATCAGGTGATCAGTATTTCTTTTAATTTGCCAAAAAAGGGAGGGGGAAAAAGGAAATTACTTGCAAAACAAAGAAACAATAATGTATATATTAAAAGATAATTATGTCTTGTTATTTTCTTCTTTTGTTTATACAAATGATAGAAACACTTTTTATTGTATTTTAAATTTTCAATGGCATTAAAAAAGAAAAAAAGAATTAAAAGTGTGTTTTCAATGAATATCTACTTTTTGTTTTTTTTTCTTGTTTAGCATTATTTTTTTCTTTTGCATAATATTTATCATTAACTATTAGCTTCTTTGATATTATCATTATTATTAGAATGATGATTATAATTAGTGGAATGATTGGTAATATTATGACCATTTTCTAATTCAGCTAATATTTCCAATTCTAATTCTTCATCAACTTCATCTGTCACAGATATATCATTATTATTACTATTTGGATAAATGGAATTATTCTCTGATTTAGTTAAAACAAGTTCATCAACTTCACGAGCAATCTCTTCTTCTAATTGTTCTTCCAATGTTTTAACTATAAATGAATGTTAATGTTTTAAAAAAAAATAATATGAGACAAAATATAAAACAGGATTTCAAAAGGAATTAAACGAATAAATGGTTACAGAGAAGTGAGAAACTTGATGAATAATATGGAGAGAGATAGGGAGAAAAATGAATGAAATACATGAAATTGTTTAAAGGACAATGATTGTATTATTTCAATAGTTGAAACCATGAATCAATTGAAGCTAGACCATCATGGAAAACCTGGAAGCACTGGACGGTCATTTCGTCCTAGTATGGGACTCATCAGCAGTGCGCATCCACAATCCCGCCCATCATGAGATTCAAATTCAGGACCTATCAGTCTCGCACGCGAGCGCTCAACCATTAGACCACTAAGCCTGCCGGCATTTAATGGTGTCAATGTATAACTTCAACCAATCCACGAAGTTGCGCCACCGTACACCATTATCATCAGTGAGTTACTACCTTACAGCAGACCTGGTTGAACTCCACTTGATAACGGCTTCTCATTAGAACTCCAGGAAATGCCTCTTGAAGTCAGTCACTAGTGAGCAGATGATTATTATCAGAAGAGGTTTTGTGGAGATTTTTAGAAATTTCAATAGTTGAAATCATGAGTCAATTGAAGGTAGACATTGACACCGTTGGATGCCGGCAGGCTTAGTGGTCTGATGGTTAAGCGCTGGCGCGCGAGACTGATAGGTCCTGAATTTGAATCTCATGATGGACGGGATCGTGGATGCGCACTGCTGATGAGTCCCATACTAGGACGAAATGACCGTCCAGTGCTTCCAGGTTCCCCATGACGGTTTAGCTTCAATTGACTCATGATTTCAACTATTGAAATTTCTAAAAATCTTCACAAAACCCCTTCTGATCATATAATTGTTTATTGTATATCTATTAAATAATTGGTTTATGATATTTTTTTGTATTTCTCTTATTGTAATCATTTATTTCGTTTATTAACTGTAGTTACACGTTTCACTGATCAATTGAATCGAACAAGGAAGCAATACAAAGAGGTTTACATTTATAACTGCTCTAGTATATATACATATATGCATAGAATGTGGCACTAATGGGCGGCCTATGCTCCTCTAAGAGAGGTAACATGAGTAATGCAAGGTAGTCTTTTACTTTGTGCTAATTGTAAGTTTCTATTTAACTCATTAATAACTGATTTCTGTTTAACCGTTAATAAATTACAGCTACTACTATTTTCTGATAAGTGATTGAGTAATTAAAATATAATTGGTTACTGACTGTGGACAAACGAACACATAGCCGATTGAGTATTCTTTAGTCCATACTCGGAATTTTTATTCTGGATCGTGAATCCTGGATCTGATATAACGTGACTAGACTCATTATCGTTGTGCATTTGAGAAATAGATTTTAAAGCATCCGTTATATTGCTTTCATTATTGTATAATAGATGGCCTGACTTTGTAGAGATTCAGACTTCTTATTTATAGTGGTACGTTAATGTATTTTAACTAGTCTAATGAATATATGATATATAGGGGTTATTTCTTTTGTAATTCAAATTGGAAAGGATTTGAATGAGGCCAATTGATTTTAAATAAACACATTGTGGCTGTGTATCATAGGCATCAATGTGTTATCGGTGTAAAGGTACTCGTAATTAGAATGAGGGGGGATAAGCGAAAAGATTACAATATATAAAATTGTTTTAATTAGTAAATCACTTTGTAATCAGATCAAACTATCTAAGTTCAACCTTATCGATCGAACTGAGGCGATCGATTTAACCGATGTGATTTACTTTATTCATGTTTGGGTTTATCATGATGTGATCAGTGTTTCTGAGAAATATTTATATTATAAATTCGTACAAAGTGAGAAAAGTGCTAGAAGCATTCAAATAAAACTAGACAAACAAATCTCATCTATAGTGATATTACAAACTGGATCGACTTTAACCGTGGAACGTCAAAACTACTTGAAGAAAATTGGACTAATTTCCACAATTAAACAACTAATGAATTACACATAGGTGTCACCAACAAATCAGCCTGGAGTCCCTCCGGGGGCTACTGCTGGTCCCAAGCCCGGATAAAGGAGGAGGGTTCGGCATGGGGTTAGTGACCCCATCCTGTAAAAAACTAACTCGCTAAAAAAACGCTAACCAGAAAAAATTATTCAAACCATTTAAACTCTGTCCTGGGAGTCAGAAGGTCTTCGGTTAGAAGAATTATGACGCCTCATGATGAAAGCCGAGTTCCTTCGGAAGTCGCGAAGCCGACGCCCCTTCTGACAACCAGAGCAACCAGTTATTCAGGTACATGGAATGCTCGTACAGTGTGGGAGACTGGGGAAGTCTTCCGAATTGCTGCAGAAATGAGGAGATACAATTTAGAGGTGCTTGGGATCAGTAAAACACATTGGACGCAAGTTGGACAACAACGAAAATGCCCCTCATACACAAGGAGTCACATTGATGCTGTCCAAACAAGATAGTCAATATCATACAGAATTCCTATAATGGATTAAACTGCAAAATCGTTCATGGAGGACAGTTGACAAAGTCGTTCGAAGTAAAGACCGGTGTCAGGCAAGGTTGCTTACTCTCAACCTTTCTCTTTCTCCTGGTGATCGACTGCATCATGAAGACGTCGACATCTGAAGGGACGCACGTGATACAGTGGACATCTAGGATGCAGTTGGATGATCTACACTTCGCAGATGATCTGGCTCTTCTATCGCATACGCAACAACAAATGCAGGAGAAGACAACCAGTGTAGCTGCAGCCTCAGCAGCAATAGGTCTCAATATACACAAAGGGAAAAGCAAGATTCTCCGATACAACACAACATGCAACAATCCAATCACAACTGACGGAGAAGATTTGGAAGATGTAAATACCTTTACATATTTCGGCAGCATCATCGATGAACACGGTGGATCTGATGCAGATGTGAAGGCACGGATCGGCAATGCAAGAGCAGCATATTTACAACTGAAGAACATCTGGAACTCAAAACAACTGTCAACTAACACCAAGGTCAGGATTTTTAATACAAATGTCAAGACAGTTCTACTGTATGGGGTGGAGACTTGGAGAACTACGAAAGCCATCATCCAGAAGATACAAATGTTTATTAACAGTTGTCTACGCAAAATACTTCGGATCCGTTGACCGGACACTATTAGCAACAACCTACTGTGTGGGAGAGAACAAATCAGATCCCAGCGGAGGAAGAAATCAGAAAGAAGTACTGGGAATGGATAGGACACACATTAAGGAAAGCATCCAACTGAGTCACAAGGCAAGTACTCACTTGAAATCCTCGAGATCAAAGGAAAAGAGGAAGACCAAAGAACACGTTACGCCGAGAAATGGAGATAGACATGACAAAAATGAACAAGAATTGGATGGAACTAGAAAAGAAGGCCCAGGACAGAGTGGGTTGGAGAATGCTGGTCGGCGACCTATGCTCTATTAGGAGTAACAGGCGTAAGTAAGTAAGTAAGTCACCAACATACCAGTTGTGATACGCTGAACCGTTCAGATGAAAGTCAAATGATAAATGAAAAAAGTTAACGGACGTGCGCTATTGGTCAATATTTGGCTTAACTTCCTAAAGGAAAAATTATATGCTACTAGTTAAAAATCTGGTTTAATTTTATGAAAGAGATGGATATATATTTCTGAATGAATTGTGAATCTATTTTCTATTAGGGTTACTCATTAAAACCTTCCTAATCACTCTTAGTTTTCTTAATCAATTAACGAGTTTGGGCACGTATTATATAAAAAGTATATGTATATCATTATCAGAATAAGACGACCATGGAACACAACGGGTTGTTTTACTAACGAACATCAATAAAAACCGTCAGAACATTATTTACACTGGTGACAAAAACCGATAATCCATCACCATGAAAACCACAGAAATGAAAGTATTGATCGAATGAATACATTACAATGTACTACATGTCACGTCGAATACATAATTTATATACTTATAAACTATATAATCAGTATAAAAAAGAATAAATCTCAATGAATTATAATCAATAGAGAAGTCATATGGACTATTATTATCATATGAATTAAGGAATGTTTCATAGTGAGATAATAGAAATAAAACTGAAGTAGATACGAGTTATATAGTTTGTAAAATATCAAACAAATATTAGGGAAGTTGAAACCTTTAAAACTATTGTCTCTATTTCTATTATGTAACTATTAAATAATTGATTTATCAGAACACCGACTTCGATGACCTTGTGCCTGTGCTAAATCAATGATGCATTAACCAGCACGAGCAGCTTTGGGTCAATTATGAGTCCTTACTGGTCCCCTGTATATTGACTTCTCGCCTAGACCGGACTGTTCCGTTCAGAATACAATATCAACCTCCGCTGTATGAATCGTACATTACAGACATACTTGGTTTATACACCAGCAGAGCAGACCGCATCACACCACAAAATGAAAAATAATAATTATACAAGATCAAGTCAATAGTGGCTGTAAGTGTAGGATACTGTAAGTGATAAATTGGGAATAAGTTAGGAATGGCAAATCGTATTGCAGTAGCCAATAGGTTTGTTGGGATGATCCAGAAAAATTCTCGCAAAAGACACGCAAGGATCAGGAAACATTAAGAAGCATTTCATCCAATCAGCGTTCACTTGGAGTTTAGCCAGAAAACACCAAGGATGTGAAACGTCACATGTGGAGGTTCTGATTGGCTGATTGTTATGCCGCTACTATGTTTAGTAGCATTCCAGAATCTTCGAGCAACCCAAGGACATTTAGAATATTATAAAAACCCTGTTTTCCGTATTAAAATGAACCTTGGAGTAAAGTACTTTCCGCACACTTTGTACCTTCAGGTCGCTATATAGTTCTAGCTTGGGGGTTTCAAGAATAGCTTAGGAATCAAAATAAGCGTTCAAATCCGCAAGACTTATCAAGGTTTTGTCCTCTGAGCTGGATGGTTTGGTCGTGGAGCTTTCATCGTTCT